GTGGTCTTCCCCTCGAAAGGGACATGAATCTAGTTTCCTGCCCGACGACCATCTCAAGGACTTTGTCAGCTCACAGCTGCCCGCCTGCAGGCGACGGGTCAGGGGCCACGGCGCGGGGGGCAGATTCCGTGACCTCACCCCTAGCAGCAGACTCTGCAGACCCAGCTCGGACCTTATCACGGTACATGCGTGTGGCTCGAGCAGGGGCCGTGACGGCCACAGCCTCCCTCCTCAAACGCCAGGTGGGGCTGGAGGAGGTCACAGCCCACATCACGGACTGCTGAGGGACAGTGTCCCCCGCGGGCTGAGCAGGGACTTCAGCCGATGTTGCAGAGTCTCTCCGGCGAGCGCCTCTTACTCTCTCTCCCCAGGCTGCTCCGCTTTCCAGGCGGCTGTTGAGAAAATCTGGAAACGTTTTAGCAAACGCAACCAAGACAGAGACTCCTGCTGACGGCCGGTGCGGGAGCCACCGGAGCAGAAACCCCCTTGCTGGCCGCAGCGAGACGGGCCGCAGGCTGGGGCATGGCCGGGGGTGCGTGTGGGTGCCGGGCCTGGCCGAGAGGGAGCGTTCCTGCAAGCGTGTTTGTGCTGAGGCAGCGAAACATCCGCTCCAGCCAGCAGGCCGCTCTGGAAGTTCCCGCGAGGCGAGTTAGATTTCCTGTGTAGGTTTGTTGTTCTTCGTCCCGGGCCCTGCTAAAGCATTCAGGGTCAGAGCATCCCGCGTGGGGGCTGGGCGGTGTGGGGAGCCCAGACTCATGACTCAGGAGTCAGCGCCGCAGCCGTGGCTCCCCCACGGGGAGCACAGCCTCCGCAGACTGTGAGGCGCTCGGGGAAGACTCAGGCCGTGAAGGGCTGCAGACAGGAGCAGGCGTGTGGGGTGAGAACCTCAGAGAGGCCAAGGATCAGCCGGGAGATCCCCAGAGACCCCGACCTGCGGATACACTTGAGTAAAACGTGACAGTCGCAGAGCGGCGGCGGCATAAGTGACTGCAGGTTTGCCGGCTTCTGTGTAGTAGCAACGTAGATGGGCGATTCGTTGGCTGTTTCCCTGTCTGTCTCTGTCTGTCCGTCCATCCGTCATCTGTCCATCCTATCTATGTATCCATCCACTCATCCAATCCGCCCAGCCTTCCATCCATCCTCCATCCATCATCCATCCATCATCCATCCATCGTCCACCTTCCATCATCCATCCATCAAGCATCATCCATTCATCATCCATCATTCATCATCCATCCATCCATCCATCCTTCCTCCATGCATCATCCATCCATCATCCATCCATCATCCATCACCCATCCATCATCCATCCATCATCCATCCTCCATCCATCACCCATCCATCATCCATCCATCATCCATCCATTATCCATCATCCATCCATCCTCCATTATCCATCATCCATCATCCATCCATCCATCATCCACCCATCCATCAATCCATCATCCATCATCCATCCATCCTCCATTATCCATCATCCATCCATCCATCATCTACCCATCCATCAATCCATCATCCATCATCCATCCATCCATCCTCCATCCATCCTCCATTCTCCATCCATCATCATCCATCATCCATCCATCCTCCATCATCCATCCATCACCCACCCATCACCCACCCATCATCTGTCCATGCTGTCTACCCACCCACTCCCCCTCTCCCCCTCTCACAGACACATCTAGTTCTCCACATACAGGACTTGCATCCTGTTGTCAAAACAGCCCAGAGGGCTGGAGCTCAGTCTTCACCTGACCTTTTGGGGAGGCTGCCTTTAGGGACACCCACTGGCGTGTTGCAAGCCCCCCACTCAGGAAGGAGCAGGCAGGAGCGTGAGGCGAGAGCCCCCTGTTTGACTCAATTCCAGCTGCAGTTGGTGGAGGGGCGGGGCAGGCCTCCCAGGGGTGCTGAGCTCACAAAGACGCAGCCCAAGCAGACGGAGGGCAGTTCCCTTCCAGCAAAGGACTGTGGGACTCCGAGGTGTGACTTCCCCGGCCCTGCAAGGTGGGTGAAGGGCAGGAGGTGTTGGGTGGGCAATGGCCGGTGACCTTGAGAACCACCTGGGCTGTGGAGGGAGTGCAGGCACCGAGGCACCCAGGTGTAAATGACCACGTTGCTCTCGTAAAAACAGAAAACACGCTTCTGTGCTAGCAGGTGTGTTTTGTGGACCGGAACCATAACGGGCAGGCGCTGGCAGCGGCTACTGGGGCCTTCCTGGAGGCCAAGCTCGGCCCCTGTCCGTGCGCGCCCGCCCCGGGCAGCTTCTGTCGGGACACCCTGGACTGTCCTTCCCCGGGCGCTGGCGCTGGACGCAGCTTAACCTGCCGGGAGCCCCAGAGGGCCTTTGCACCCGGCTGGTTCTGTTCTGCACCTCCCGGCCCGGTCCACCTCCCTCCTAGGTGAGAGGACCTCGCTGTCCCCCTGCACTTCAAGGACAAGGTCCCGCGGTGCACCCCAAGCTCTGTCCCGGCCCTGTCCCCGAGGTGCACGAACCTCCACCCGCAAACCTGTTTCCCCAAGTTCCTGGGCCGGGTCGGCCCGCGGGCTCCCGGCGCGAGCGCGGTCCCACCTTTTTTGGCTGCGGACTGCGCGGGGAGCGCGCGGCCAGCCGGGGGCAGGGGGTGGGGGGCGTGGCGGGCTCAGGTTGCAGCCCGCCCGCGGCCCCGGGGTGGGGGTGGGGGGAGCTGCTCCCGCCTGCGCTCGGGATCCCGGGCGCGGCCCGAGAAAGCTCCGCGCAGCTGGGGCGCGCCAGCCGGCTCCGCTCGGGTCCCCCCAAAGGCCTCCGGGGCGAGCGCGCCGCGTGCGGACTCTGGGGGCTCCCGCGGGCTCTCCGGTCCCCCCGCCCCGAAGGCGCCCGGCCTTCCTCGGCACCCCGACAAGCCGCGAGCCGCCCCCGGCGCCCCTGCACCCGGGCGCGAGCCGGACCCCGCGATGAAGCGGCCGGAGGAGGGCTGAGCGCCCCGCGGCGCGGCCAGGGTCCCGCTCGCGCGCGCCCCGGCCCCGGGGTGGGGCAGGGTGGGGGTGGCCGAGGCGTGGACTCGGGAAGCATCTGGGCGAGCGGAATAAAAGGGCGCCGGCTGTGCGCGCCGCGCTGGGAAGCCGAGCAGCCGCGCCCGGCCCCGGGACAGGCATGACCCCCGCGCGCGCCCCGCGGTGATCGCCCCCCGCCGACGCCCCGGACGCCCCGCTCCCGCGCGTCGCGGCCTTCCGAGGACAGGTGAGGACTGGGGCGCTCGGGGCGCGGGACGGCGCGGGACAAAGGCCACCGGGCGGCGGGGTGTGCCCGGAGGCGGATGCCGGAGCAGGGGTGCAGCGCGCGGCGCCTCCCGGCCCGGGGCCACCTCGCGCCGCCCCAGCGCGCCCGCGGGGAAGCCGGTCCCGGCGGCCGCCAGCCCTGAGCCACCGCCTCCCTCCTCCGCTTCCCGACTCGGCGGGCGGGGAGGCGCGCGCCTCCGGCCAGCTGGAGAAGTCGTCAGCGCAGCGGCGGCTCCTGGCGTCCGGGCCCCGGGACGCCTTCGGGGGCAGCTCGAGTCCCCGCGCCTGGGCGCCCGGGCGCGGGAGCTGAGCGGCGGCCAGGGGCGCAGGACAGAGCGCAGGGCGCCCGGGTGGAGGGTCCCGGGTGGGGAGGACCTGCTCTCTCCCCGGGTTTGCGCAGCGACCCTCCCCGGATTGGGGCTCCCGGGGGCGCCCACTTCCCTTCTGCAGGGAGGACCCGGGGCCGGCAGCAAAGCAAGGCCGGGAGGGCGGCTGGACAGCCGGACCCGGGCCTCCTGGCAGGAGAGGGAGCCGGACGCCCTCCGCCCTCCGCCCTCGGGGGTCCCCAGATCCCGGGCTCAGCGCGCTGGAGGGTCGCGAGGCCGGCGCTCCGGGGCCCGGGGCGCGCGCTCTGAGGCTGCCGGCGCCCGCGCGCGGAGCCGGAGGTGGGGCCTGGGCCGGCCTGGCAGGGCCGCTGCGCCGTCAGCACTTCGGGGCCGGCTGCGGGGAGAGGCGCGCGGCGATCGGGGCGTTTCTGTGTCGGGGTCATGGAGAGGCTGGAAACGCTGGGGCTGGGGGTGCCGCTCCCCCGCGCGAGCGCAGCGCCCGCGCCTCCCTCGGCGCGCTCCGCTGTCAGCCAGCGCGTGGCTGTTTTACAACAAACTTCATTCACGAGCTGACAGAAGCATGAATGGGAGGGCGCAGGCTTGGCCGGCGCCCGAAAAGCAACAGCAGCTCTGACTGTCCTAAGGGCGCGGCTCGCACCTCCCAGACGCGCCCGCCTTGCCGGGATTTGCTGGCGGAGCACCTCCCGGCCCTCCCTGTTGGCCTGGACATGCCTGCGCGGCCCATTTCTTCTCGATGCACGGGCCTTTTGGCGCGGGCTCCCCAAGAGGGCCCCCACCCCACAAAGCAGGTCTTCCACGAAAATGGGAGGACCCTAAACGTGCCCACGGAGTGTCAGCACTTGGCTGTCAGGCGCCCTCCGTGCGCACGTGGGGAGGCATCGTTTTGGCTCCGAGGGGTGTGCGTAAGAGAAGGGACCTTCCCGATTCTATGACCTTCTTGGGGAGCTTTTTATTCAAAGGTGGACAATTTCGTGTAACCGCGAGTTGACCCTTGAGCCAAAGAGTATTTATTAATGTTGAGAAAGGAGCGTGCGTGTGTCCTGGCTCGCCAGATTCGCACCATAACCACGGGATATTAGCTCCAACGTTGGCTTGGATATATCCATGGACACTTTAGATTCCATGCAACACTGTGTATGTATGTCGCATGTATAAATATGTACCATCCATGACATCCCAGGTGTGCACACACACAGCCTCAGATTAGACGAATAATTCACATTCTTGCCCCAAAGTGCCCACCATCACTTTCCTCTCCCTGGACCAAAACTCTCCAGTCGCTCCAATAGACACCTCGGGGGCCAGTTGGGCGCCTTTCAAATATGAAATCTGCCCCTTTCACTAAGCGCCTCTGTTCTGGCTCCCACGCAGGTGTGCAGTGAGGAGGCGCCTGGACACGATGCCCCGGCGCGCGCCCTGGAGCGCGCCACCCGCCGTGCTGCTGCTGCTGCTGCTGCTGCTGAGCGGCCTCCCGCGCGCGCGGGCCTGCCCGCACCCCTGCGCCTGCTACGTGCCCAGCGAGGTCCACTGCACCTTCCGCTCGCTGGCTTCGGTGCCCGCTGGGATTTCCAGACACGTGGAGAGGATTAATCTGGGGTTTGTAGCCGTGCGGACGCAGCCACCTGCGCGGGGTCGCATGCGCGAGTGTTTGGTTTCCCCAGGGGATGCGCGATGGCGCGCGCGCGCGCTCTTGGTCCCCCTGCGCCCTCCTGTCCACCTTCTGTCCTTCTCCGCGGGCAGCGTGTTGCGCACTAGGGTCGCGGGGCTGTTGTGGGCAGCTGTAGTCGGGGTAGCGTCAGGGATGACTTGAGTCTGGGCTGCAGGCGCCACCCTGTCCGCGGGATGGGAGGACGCACAGAGCAATAGATGGAGAGCTTGAAATAGACTCCAGACGCTCTCAGAGACGGTCACAGGCATAAGTGTCCGGCATTTCTGACCTGTCCGGAGGATGCCGCTGTGATTTGGAGAACTCAGAGCCGGTTTATGGCCCCCAGTTTAAAACAGTCATCGCTTGAGAGAGAGCTTGGGCATCTTTCGGGGTGGGCGTCTCCATTAATTTCCCCGCGATGCACACAGGTGACTTGGAGACATAAACCGCGGCTGTGGTGACGGCCCTTCCTTTGACTCCCCCCGGTAACTAACTGGGCGATGTCTCCGGGAAAGCCGAGCCGCTGTCACCAACCGCCTGGACACACGCAGAGCGTGTCCACCGTGGGGACATTCCAATGACACGGCGGCCACGTCTGCGTCGGTGAACCAAGAACCGCTCATTTCTTGGGACTTTTCAGAGCCGGTCGGTGCCCCCGAGTCCGCATTCCGCAGCCCCGAGGCCGGATGAGGGAACCAGAAGGCAAGGCAGGCGCAGGGCACTGGACCACGACCTCGTGTTCTGAATAAAACCTGGGGAAACCTTGTGGTTTCACCGCGTGGAAGTCCAGCTGCGATGCCGACAGCTCGGCGGGGAAGACCGTCGGGCCGTTGCCGGGACAGAGACGGTGAATCACCCCGAGCCGTCTGTGCTGGTGGCGGAGATCAGACGGGATCGAGCGACAAGATTCCCCCTGCTTTGAGCACCGCCCGGTGCCTTGTCGTTATTACCGTCTCCCCACTCTCTGGGGCGCCACCTCATCCCCAGAGCCTGGCCCCCAGGGGATGGGGCTGCTGTCGGAACAGGCTTGGTGCCGCTTTTCCTGCCGAGGAGGAAAATCATCGATTTTCGTTATGTTTGTGTTGAGGTAGCATCGGCTGACAGCGCCGTGTGTAATTTAGGGGTGTGTCTGTTAGCACAGCACCCCCAGCAATGGGCTCCCCGAGGACCCCCACCACAGTCCGCTGGACCCCAGACTTCCCATCCCAACCTCCCCCCTTATTAGCCTCAGTCCCACAGTGAGATTTCGAGGGGTTGTTTCCGTTCCGTTTTGTCTGTTCCCCATTTTGTGTCTTTGTTTCTCTTCCACATATGAGCGAAATCCTCCGGTGTTTGTCTCTGTGCTTCGGACTCATTTCACTCAGCATTTCCCCCGCCCAGGTCCATTGGGGTGGTCACAGAGGGCGAGACTTCATCATTTTTCATGGCTGAGTAGTATTCCACAGGGTGCATAGAGTGGATCTTCTTAATCCGCTGCTGTCGTGGGGCACGTGGGTCATTTCCGCGGCTCATCTACTGCGAGTAGACAGAGCAGCACTGACGGTTGCTGTTGGGACCGGTGGCTTCTGCATTTTGGGGGTACACAGCTCGGATTCTGCCCATTTTCAAGTTAAGTCAAGAGCAGGTCTAAAGCAGAGAGAATTCGGGTTCTGACTCGCCCCTTAGCGGTCTTGAGAGAGGCTGAAACACTTCCAGGAAAGACGGATCACTGGCAAGGCATGACGGACAATCTCCATCCCCGCACATTTACGGTTCTGGCTCTTTAGGGTTTTGGGGTTCCGGGTCTGTGCCGGAATGGAGATCTACCTGCTTGGAGAGCCCCAGAGCCTCCCCAAGAATGAGTGTCCGATTATTTTTGAGCAAAACCAAAATAAAACCATGCCACTAGCGTGTGACTCACCGACCTCAAAAGACTTGCTTTGATCAATTCTCTCTAGAATTTCCCCCAAAACCCACCTTACTCTTCCTTTGCTTTCAATTTCCCTTTGCTGGGCGCATCCTGCAGTTTTATCTCCATTTCCTCTCCTCCGCTGGCCGGCGGCATGGCGGCGCAGGTTCCTTTCCGCTGTCCGACAGCGTCGTTTTTTTGCATTTGTGTCCATTTTGCAAAGCCCCTGCACTTCCGACCTCAAGAACCACCTCGTTTGGCCACTTCTGCAGTCGGCGATTGTCAATCAACAAACAGGAGAGGAGGTTGCCGAGGAGACAAAGACGCAGGCTGGGAAATAGCGGGACTCGCTCCGGGTCCTTGCGGCCTCCGCCAGAGCCTCTTCTCCGAGGGCCCCCCGGACTTCCCGCCGCCTCTGCGGGCGCATCACGCCAGCCCCTCGCTCTCCTGCGTCCCCACAAAGCCCCACTCCTGGCTCTGCCCCCTCCAGCCGGCGGCGAGGACACACGCGGCACCAGGCAGATGCTCCAATTTCCGCAGAACCACGACACGCAGCCGGATCTGGGTCCATCTTATTACCTGCTGCTTGTGGCTCAACTTTGGGGATACCCTGGCCCCCAGGAGACCCTCCAGTTCCCCGATATTTATGCACAAACAGACTCCAAATCCAACAGTGCGTTTGCAAACGGCTCCGAGAATCCCCGAGGGCCCTTGGTCCTTCGGAGTGGACGTCCCTGAGCGGGGCCGTCCGGGGGCGGCGGTTTTATCTGCACCTTTGGCTTGGACCAGGCTCCCCAGCTCCTCCCGGTCACTCCCTTCGTGGGCCCTCCTGGGTCCGCCCCGCCGCATTCCTGAGATGTCTGGCGGCGCCTCCCTGCTCGCCTGCGTCTGTGGGTTCATCTTCTCCCTTTTTCCTTCGTGAGCCCGACCGGACGTCTGGGCATGTGCGCGTTTTCCCGGCAGGCCTGGTGTCCCTGACCTTGTGGACTCTGGGTTTCAGCTCGTTCCTCTCGGCTCTGCTTCTCCTGATTTCCGTGCACTAGAGTTTGGTCTGGTTTGGTTTCTTTGGGCCTCATGATGGGACGTGTAGGGTGACCGCCTTGCTCCCCAAATCACCTCTGAGGAGGTTGCTTTGTGCGAAGCCCCGAGCCCGGCCAACATGGCTGGATCGCGTCCAGCTGGGACTCTGCGCTCGCGTCCTGCAGGCCCTGCGTGGGCTCAGACGCGCTTCCCGCTCTTGGTCTTTCAGGTTCAACAGCATCCAGGCTCTGTCGGAAACCTCCTTCGCCGGCCTGGCCAAGTTGGAGCTGCTGCTCATGCACGGAAACGAGATCCCGAACATCCCCGACGGCGCCTTGCGGGACCTCAGCTCTCTGCAGGTGACACCCCCACCTCTGTGACCGCCCTGGAACGCGGGCTCTGAGCCCGTGGCGGAGACACCCACGCTGCCCCAGGGAGCACTGTCGTGGCCGAGCTTTTCTTTCTTTTCCGTCTTTCTTTTCAGTGTGTTTATTTCCTCATGTGGTTGTTCCTTTGGGGGGAGATTTGATTTCTCCTCTCAGGCGTGGCCCCCCGAAGTTCTCCTGCTGCTACAGCCCCCGAGACTGTCACCACCGTCCCTTGCACTCCTCCGTCCTGTGTCCTGACTCCTGTCCCTCACCCTCCCCTGCTGGATGCCTCAGATCTAGGGTCAGCCAGCAGGTTTTGTCTTTTTTCTGACACTTTGCTTGGCTTCCCTATACACCTCCTGTAAGTTTCCCGATATTCCTCCTTTTTCTTTTTCTTCTGACTCATTTTGCTGAGCATCATCCCTTCCAGCTCCATCCATGTGGCTGCAAACGCCATGAGTTTATCCTTTTCTTGGCTGCATAGTATTCCATTACAGCTACTATCCATCCTTTTTCATGGATGCATAGTATTCCATTGTCGCTGTTGAATGTCCTTTTCGTGGCTGTGTAGTATTCCAATGTAGCTGTTGAGTCTCATTTTCATGGCTATGTAGTATTCCATCATAGCTGATGATTGACTCTTTTCGTGGCTGTGTAGTATTCCGTTGGATCTATTCTTTGGTGTTTTTTCATGGGTACATAGTATTCCAGTGCTGCCATTGCTTATCCCTTTTCAGGGCTGCATACTATTCCATCACATCTATTAGGTATCTGTTTTCCTGGCTGTGTGGTATTCCATCATAGCTATCGATTGGCCCTTTCATGGCTGCATAGTATTCCATCATAGCTATTTTCATACTTTTTCGTGGCTGCATAGTATTTGATCATAGCTATTGATTGCCCCTTTTCATGGCGGCATAGTATTCCTCCATAGCTGTTATGTATCTTTTTCGTGGCTGTGTAGTATTCCACAGTGGGTTTGATTATTCCTTTTTGTGACTGTATAGTATTCCGTTCTATATATGTTCCCCGTCATTTTTCATGGCTGCATAGTAGTCCATCATAGTGATTTTTTTTTTTTTAAGATTTTATTTATTTATTTATACAAGCACTGGGCACAGTCAGAAGCACGGGAGGGTGAGAGAATTCACCAGAGCCAGAGCGGGGAATAGAGCACGCAGACGGGTGAAATACACTGCTGAGGGGAGCAGCGGGCGGCAGGAGAGGTCTGCGCGCCATGTGGGACTGTTGCCAGCGGCTGGGAATGGAACCGGTGCTGCAGAGGCTGCGGGCAGCTTCGCAGCCCAGGGCTCAACCGCTGCGCCACCAGGAAGGCCTGTGATTGATTTTTTCATGGCTGCATAGTAGTCCATCGTAGCTATCGATCAGCCCTTTTCATGGCTGCCTAGTATTCCACCACATCTATAAACCACAGCAGCTCGATCCATTTATCTGTCCTTGGGCATTTAGGTTGCTTCCCCAGCTCGGCTATTCCAAACAGAGCTGCGGTAAACATAGGCGTGCAGCTCTCCCCCTTTTTACAGTAAAAAGGCGAGTTTCATGCCATCACGGCCCCCCCCTTTCTCGGGCCGGTGGCTTTGCCCCTCAGCCACAAACAGGACTTTCCGCTGCCGCCTCTGCAGGTTCTCAAGTTCAGCTACAACAAACTGAGGGTGATCACGAAGCAGACGCTGCAGGGGCTGACCAGCCTCCTGCGGCTGCATCTGGACCACAACAGGCTCGAGTTCATCCACCCGCAGGCCTTCGAGGGCCTGACGGGCCTCCGGCTGCTGCACCTGGAAGGCAACCAGCTGCGCCAGCTGCACCCCGGGACCTTCTCCACCTTCACCTTCCTGGATTACTTCCGGCTCTCCACCGTGCGGCACCTGTACCTGGCGGACAACCAGCTGAGCGCGCTGCCCCGCGGGATGCTGGACGGCATGCCGCTGCTCGAGAACCTCTTCCTGCACGGGAACCCGTGGGTGTGCGACTGCAGCCTGGACTGGTTCTCCCGCTGGGAGGCCGGCTCCAAAGGTGAGTGCCCGGAGAGGCTGCTGCCCCCGCAGGGCTGGGCTGGCCCTTTTCACCCCTCTTGTCCAGCTGAGACCACATCACCCAGTTGCAAGGCGGAAGCTCCCACGGGGGTGTCGCAAGCTCCCTGGTGAGATGCCAATCCCAGTCACCAGAGGGCGCTCTGATGTCCGGATGTCCAGGTCACTCAATCGGTTGTGCCCAGCTGTGGGTGGACGCCTGGAACGGACACTGGGTGTGCACTCACCCCAGGTTGGGCTCGCTGTGTCCTACGCAGGAGCTTTTGGGGACATTTGGAAGAGGAAGGTGAAGGGTTGGGAAGGCCGCAGCCTGTTTCCTTTTTCATGGCTATGTAGTATTCCATTGTCACCATTTATCATCCCTTTTTCATGACTGCATAGTATTCTGCCACATCTATAAACCACAGCTGCTCAATCCATCCATCTGTCCTTGCACATTTAGGTTGTTTTCCTAGCTGTGTCAGCCTGTGGCCTTCCCAACCCTCACACCCAGCTCGCTCTGCATCTCACACCCACGTTACTTCAGCAGATCCCAAATCTCTTGGGCCCTCTGTACCCTCAGAGCTGCCACCCTGGGCAGGCTCTGTCCTCTCTGTCCGGGAGGGGCCAGTCTCCTGCACATATATGAGCACACAGCAGGCGCAGGGACGAATGTCCGCATGTAGCATCTGGCCACGCATGCCCCACGGCCACCTCCAACCTGCCCTGTCTCCCCCTGGCCTCAGGGCCGGACACTCGGCTCTCATCAGAGCTCCCACACAGCTGACTGCTCTCGCCGTGCTCCCTCCTCATCTGTGGGTCCCCCTGTGCCCCTTCCTCACCCCGCCCCAGCACACGGCTCTCCTCCAGGCTCCCTCCACCTTCCAACCATGTTTCCTCCTCAGCGGCTTTGGTCAGGCTCAGTGTCCCACCCGCAAGGGCCTGGGCCAGGCGTGCACGGTGCTGGCATCTGCTCAGCCCCGGAGGGTCCACCTTGCCAGCCTCCCTTTCCACACAGCACCAGGGAGAGCTCGGCCCCAGCTGGGAAGCCACGGGTAGAGTCTGATGCCAGAGGGCGGCCCTGGCTGCAAGGAAAAATCATAGGGAGAGAAGAAAATCCCAAAAGGTGGCAGAGATGAGAGTCACGCCCCACGTTTCCCTGAGTCCTGACACACACGGGCAGGCCCCTGCGTCTCCCAGCAGCCGGGTCCTGTCATGTGTGTGCATGGAGATGATGTGGCCTGGAAGACGCCTTTTTAAAAGGACTTAGGATTGCTGGCAAGGGGTCAGGAAACCGTGGTGTCCACTCATTTTAGGACACAGGTGATGTCGCGGGGGCAGGTGACCTGGCTCAAATGCTCCCAGGATGCTCCAGGTGGGGAGGGTGCACCCAGATGGTGACAGAGCACCAGAAGGTGCTTGCTCGACCGTGCGCGGGGGGGGGCGCAATTCCCTCGGCTCCCAGCTCACGGCCCCTCTGCTTCTTGCAGGGACCCTCAAGTGCAAGAAGGACAAGTCCTACGAGGGCGGCCAGCTGTGCGCCACCTGCTCCAGCCCCCGCAAGCTGCAGGGCCGCGAGCTGCACGGGCTGGGGGCCCTGCCGTGCCTGAAGCCCGCCATCACGTCCCCTCTGCGGCACAACCATAGCGCAGAGAGCGCGGAGGACCTGGACAGCGAGGAGGAGGACCCGGACCCGCCCGCGCCGCGGGGTTCCCTGCGCCCCAGCTGGAACATCTCTCTCAACATGACGGACGAGCACGGGAACAGCGTGGCGCTGCTGTGCGCCATCCAGGAGCCCGCGGGCGTGCGCGCCGTCCAGCTGAACCTCACGGACGCTCAGGAGCTGGAGCTCAACGCCACGGTGGCCCTGGACATCGAGTGTCCAATGACGCGGGAAAACTATGAGAAGCTGTGGAAGCTCATCGCCTACTACAGCGACGTCCCGCTGCAGCTCCAGCGCGAGCAGTCGCTGGGCGGCGCGGACGCGGCCCTCGGCTACCACTACCGGCAGGACCCCGACGCCGACGCGCTCTACTACACCGGCGTGCGCGCGCGCGTCCTGGCGCAGCCCGCGTGGGTCCTGCAGCCGCGCATGGACATCCAGCTGGACCGGCGCCAGAGCTCGGCTACCACGGTGCGTCTGTCCTACCAAGCCCGGCACGCGGCCACGCTGTCCCCCAAGGACGCCCGGCGCGCGCGCGCCCGCAGCTGGGTGATGATAGAGCCGAGCGCGCAGGTGCCCACGGCGCAGGCCGTCCTGGAAGGGGGCGCGGTGCAGCTGAGCTGCCACGTCAAAGCGTCTGAGAGCCCGTCCATCCTCTGGGTGCTGCCCGATGGCTCCCTGCTCAAGGCCCCCGGGGAGGACCCGCGCGGCCGCTTCTCCGCGCTCACCAGCGGCTGGCTGAGGCTCAAGGCGGCCGAGCTGGCGGACTCAGGCGCGTACCGGTGCGTGGCGCAGGTGAGGGATGAGCTGGACCAGACGGCGTATCGGGTCCTGGTGCTGCCGGCCGCGCCTCCGCCGCCGGCTGCGCACGCGGTGACCCTGCAGAAGGCTCCGGGGGAGCCGCTGCAGCTGCCTTGCGATGCCCAGGCCATCCCCGAAGCCCAGCTCAGCTGGGTGCTTCCCAGCGGTCGCATAGTGAGCAGCGCGGCCAACGCATCTCACGCACACTTGATGGCCGACGGGACATTGTCCATCCCGCAGCTGCAGGCCAGCGATGCCGGCTACTACAGGTGCGTGGCCGTCAACCAGCAAGGCGCAGACCACTTCAGCGTGGGCATTGCTGTGGCGCGGGAAGGACCCAGCGGGGCGCCGAAAAGGGGCAGGGTCCGAGCGGGCGGGAAGGCCCGGTCCAGGGGGAGAGTGGACGTGGTGGAGGACGAGGGGGGCTCGGGCCTCGGCGAGCAAGACGGCCCGGCAAGGCACGCCCTCCACCCGAAGGACCAAGAGCTGTTTATCCAGACCAGCGAGGACACCCCTGGGCCAGGGAGGATCCCCAAGAAAGGGCGGAGGAAGCTGAAGCTCTGGAAGAATCCGGAGAAGGAGCCGGAGACCACCGTGGCCGAGGGTCGCAGAGTGTTCGAATCCAGACGGAGGGTCCACGTGGCCAGCAAGCAGATCAACCCCGAGCAATGGGCCAACATCTTAGCCCGAGTGCGAGGGAAGAGTCCCGCAAAGGGAGCAGAGGCACCCCAGGGTGCCGGCACCACCCCCGCCCCACCGGGGACCCTGGAAGCAACACCCCCCCTGCCTGCCCTCCCGCCCCCCTCAGTGGTGCCCGAGCCAAGCAGCATCGCAGCCGAAGAATCCTCTGCTGATGTGGCTCTGGGGGGCGAGGAAGACGAGGTGTCCAGCACCATCTTGGCGACCCAGATGGAAGCAGAGTCTGGGCACGAGGGGGTCTTTCTGGCGGAGCCCACGTTGGCAGGCACAGATCTGGAGGAGTTTACAGATCCTGAGGCTTCCGAGCAGACGGAGGTTGCTGCTACCAGGGACAGTGGCTTGGGGGACACTACCGGCTTCCCACAGCTGCCCCTGACAGAGGAGTCCACTCCACACGGCCTGGACACCCTCTACGAAGAGCCCACCGGGGAACACAGAGACACGGGGAGCTGGACGTCCATAGACGTGGAGTCTGGCCCACAGCCCACGGCCACCGGCGATGAGTCTCCATTGCACGCCGGCTCCTTGGCCGAGGCCGAGGCTGAGGTACTCAGGCACCAGGACTTGGAGACCACATCTCACGCCGAGGAAGATGACATGGACGGGCTGACCGCCACACGCATGCTCCCGACCCCCACCTGGCAGGACACTGGCCCCTGGACAGCTGGGCCTTTAGAAGACCCCGCATGGGCGGAGGAAGATGCTGCAGCACCAGCACCCCCCACAGGACTCCCAGACCACAGCCAGGTGGTGGCGGGCTCTGTGCTGTCTCACAGCGTCCCTCTGAGTCTGGAGGACACACAGGAGGGTTCCCGCGCCCCCCAGAATGAACACACACTAGAGGAAGGCCCCACAGAGTCCACAAGTCCTGAAAATGAGAGGCAGTGGGGGCTGCCCACCGCCCTGCTGGACCCCACGCTGCCCGCCTCCGACAGCACGTCCCCCTTCAAGCAGCCCGGGGAAGCCACCGCCGCCACTCCAGGTGACCAGGAAGCCACCACCGTCACCGCGATGACGTCAACTCGAGCAGCCACTTCAGCATCGGTGCTGACCACGCACCCTTCTCCGAAGAGGCCCCACGGGAGGAGACGGCAGCGCCCTTTCATGTTGCGGCACCGGCACCGGCACAGGCCAGCCCCGCCGGCCACTTCGGCCCCGCCAGAGACATTCTCCGCTCCAGCACCCGGCGTGGCAAACCCAGAGAGACCGGAGAGTCGCCTGGCGCCTACAGCCTGGGTCGCCAGCACTGCGGGCGTCCCCCAAAAGTTGGAAACAGAGAAGCCCACAGAGCCGGTCACCAAGGGCCCCCCTCGGAGAAAACACAGGAAGAAACCCCATAAACAGCGGCGCCCGACTTCCACGGTGAGCCCGAGCGCTTCTGTGACCCAGGCCAGCTCTTCCCCCGAGAGGAGACCTAAGACCCCCGGTTCAGGCACTGACCTTGCCCCTCCAACTGCTTCTTTGAGACCTGGGGCACCACGTGAGGGAAACAGCGTGGAGGCCTCGGCAGTGACCCCCACAAAAATCCACTCATCCCACGGTCAGTTCCGGGAGTCAAGCTCGGCCACCTCCGGGCCTCCATCAGGGGGACGGGACAGCGAGGGCTCCAGTGTCACCAACATCAGTGACCGGGAAAAGGACAGTTTAGTCCCTGGTGAATCAGCGGTCGATGCCATGTCATCTTCAGACTCCGGGGTGGCCACCGTCGGAGAATTTAAGGAGCAACCCCCTCCTTCTGGCTTTCCAGGAACCCCAAGCTGGGGCCCCTCAAGGACTGAGCAACCTGGGAGGCTCCAGACAGACACAGCAGCAGTTGCCAGCTCCTCAGAAGACCCCACAGACTCCCCCTTTTTTAGAGGTTCAGAGGATGTAGGTTTGCCTTCTGAGGTGCCACCTTCTAGTTCAATGCCCCCACTTTTTCAACAGCGAGAAGCCGTTGCTTCAACTACTGACTTGAGTATAAGAGCAGAATCGTCTTCTACTCAGGCAGGGACCACCAGCAGCGACGTGGGTCATCACAAAGCCACCCCCATGACTATCCCTTCTGAAACTGGACCCCACAACCCCATCCCGACTCCACTGGAAGAACCAACATCCCCAGCCCCGACTCCTGTGTCTCTGGCCCCGACCGTGCAGGAGCCCGTGCCTCTTCCTTCAAAAACATCGTCCCCATCGGAAGATTCCCAGGACAACGTGGTCTTGAATTCCGTGGGGATCCCAGAAACCAAAACATCTCCAGTGCTTCCTGGGGGAACTTGGCATATCCAGAGGCCAGATGAATCGTCCACCTCCTCGTCCAAACAGGGTGAAGTTCACTTAACCCCCAAGCAGGAGTTAGGGCAGGAAACCCCTGGGGGCAGAACCCCAAACAGTCTTCCATTCCCCCCAGGTGGTCACCACCAGGAGAGACCAGTCCAAGTTTTCCACCATCCAGCCAGAATCCCCGCCAGACCCACCCCGCCAAGAGGGACAGCGAGGCCACCGCCCGTGACCACACAAGGCTCCTTTAGATACTTTGTCACTTTCCAGCCCCCTCGTCACGTGACCAACAAGCCCGGAATCACCGCCTACCCCTCTCGGGTGTTGCCAGAGAATAATAAGCACGTCACCGCCCCCAAACTGCCAAGCACAGGTCCTGTTGTCCCGGCGCGGGGGTCCCGGCCTGGAGAATTGACGGACCGAGGAGCAGACTGGCTCAATGGCAACTCCAAGGTGTTTGGAAGTAACAGCATCCCCGATCTGAGGGACCCTGTGGTCCAGCTGCCCAGTTCAAGGGTCCCTCACGGTTCCGGTGGGCGAGTCCCATTCTTTTTCAACAGGAGCCTCTCCTTCCCACAGTTGGGGGTCACTTCGAAACCCCGGACCCCTAACCCTCCCTCCCTGGTGTTGAGAAAAGTCACACCAGGTCCCTACCAGAGGGGACATACTCAGGGCATCATCCACGTGGACTTTGGTCCCCCAGCACCTCCCATACTACACGCACCCCAGACCACGGCCGCACCTTCAACTCACTTCCCAAGTGGCCCTCTGTTCTCCACCCGGAGCTCTGTCCCCTTCGTGACGTCTTCCAGCCAGTCCTCCAGAAATGGCCATCAGAGCAGCGCCAAGTTCTGGCCTCTTGGGGAGAAGCCCCGGATTATCACCAAGTCCCCTCAGACCGTGACTGTCCCTGCAGACACAGACATCGTGTTGCCGTGCGAGGCCACGGGGACGCCCAAGCCTTTCGTTACCTGGACAAAGGTGTCCACAGGTAGGGCTTTGGGTATTGGTGTCTTGGCCTGTGCTGGTGCAGGAGGGTGTTGGGCCTGGGAGTTGGGGACGAGTCAGACTTTGGAGAAGAGCTGAGTGATGGCACGGGAGGGGGCATCTGAGGACCAGATGCAAGTGTGTGGCTTTATGGGGACAGGAAGGAACTAGAACAGGGACAAGATGGGGATTCAGTGACACACATGACTGGCTATTTGGTCAGGGACTGACCTAGGTTTGTGATGCTTGTCCAGAGGATCAGCATGGCCTCTCCCTGAGGTCCAGTACTTGAGTGTCCCCACCCATGCAGGAGTGCAACGAGCTGAGCAGGTGTTTGCAAAATCCTATTTCCAGCCTTATGGTCCAAGGTAATTGTAGCCTGGTGCGGGTTCCTCCAGTGTGGCTTTGAGCTCAACCTCAAGGGACAGTTGGTTCATTCTCTGCTGCTGACTGAACCCCATAACTCCATCCCCTCCCTGTCCTGGAGGCTGGGGATCAGAGATAAAGGCATGGACAGGGATGGACCCTCCTGATCCTCTCTCTGGGTGTCCTCTCCTGGCCGTCCTTCTGGGGGGGTCTCTGTGTCCTCACCCCCTGTTTTTACAGGGAACCCCATCCTGAGGTGTCAGGACCCACCCCAACCCCTCATTGTGCAGGACAGCCTCAGCTCCAAACAGCGCATCTGGGGGTCTTGGGACTCCAGCCTGTGAGGAGCGGCCAGCTCCTACTGTTGGCTGCCCCCTAGTTAGCCAGGTCAGGTTTCTAGAAAGCTCATTCTGTTGGCACGCCCACACGAGACATCCTCACCTCCAAGGGCTGCCAGACACCCCTATTGTCTTGGATTCTGAAGACTCGGCCCCAAGGAGCTCCTTGGTGAGGGTCAATCAAGAGGTGACCTTGGAGCTGGCCCAGCCTGCCCAGCAGCAGGTGCCACTGGTCCTGGATTCCTCCACTCCCAGCCACGAGAAACACTCTGTGTCCATGTCCTCATGGACATCCAGAAGGGAGGGGGCAGTGGCTGGCTTGTCAGTTGCACCCCAGCTGCCCTTTGGGGGTTTCAAGCATAGCAGGAGGACAGGCAGCAGGGACCAGAGCTGGCATCACCCCCCACCTGTGCCCAAGGGTGTGCAGGGCAGGGTGGGTACCCCTGGCCAGCAAGCCCAGCTCTGGAGTGGGGCGCTCTGCTATCCCAGAGTCACCCCAAGGGGCGGCCCCATTTCTCCATGCACCATGGAAGCGCCTGTCCTGGCCAGGAGGGGCCACTCAGCTGACTTTCCTCAGCAGAGGCTCAGTTAGGGCGCCTGGTATTTCAGAGACAGCCATTAGGGGGATGCGAGGGGCTGACGCACAGCCCAGGGTGGACACGGCAGACAGGGCAGAGGCAACAGCAAACCCAGCTTGGCTAGGCGGGGCGGGCAGATCTCAGCTGCCAAATCGGCGTTTCTCAGCCCACACAGCTGGGAATGGTGGGGACACAGCATGGAAGGAGGCCATGTCCCTCAGTGTCCCCAGAACGGGGGTCATGGGGGTGCTGCAGGGTCAGCTGGGACGCAGAGGACGAGGGAGACGTGGCTGAGACTCTCCGGGAGTCTCCAAGGAAAGAAGAGGCAGAGCAGGAGCGAGTGGCAGGCTCGGCACGGGCAGGCTGTGGGGTTCGGCAGGGCAGGTGGGTGATGCAGCAGAGGGAGACCCCTATAGAGAGGGTCAGTCGTGGCCCTGCATGGGCCATTTTGTGCCAGGGACACTCTAGGAACCGGCCAGCTCCGAGAGGGCACTCCCAGATGCCCCTGAATCAAAAAAACATTTGGTGAGAATGTCCCGGGCGCAGCAGTGGGGATGTCAGGGCCGACTGGACACCCAAGTTATGGCCAACCCAGCAGTGTCCAGCAGTGGCCTCTGGGTAGCTCTCCTATGGGCCAGCCAGGGACTCCCCGAGGACAGCACGTTGCAAGCGAGGCCAGGGCGGTATGAACAGAGGTGTATCTCCTGGAGGTGAAATCACGAGGTGCCTTCCAGAAACTTCTACGGAAGCCATGGTGGCTGGTCTCCGGTGAGGTGGCGAGGGCCCCATTCTGGGGCTGGGGGCACAGCTGGGAGGAAGGGGAAAAAGTGGGCGCCAAGGCCGTCTCCTTCCCTGGTGAGGCCTCTGGTGGGGTCCCCAATGGGCGCGCCCCCAGGTCTTTGATTTCCCCTTCCCGGGCCTAAATCCAAGACGGGCTCATTAGGGCGCGCCCCTCTGCGTCGGGGCGCAGCAGCGGCAGCAGGACCCCCTGACCGTGTCTTCCCCCCGCAGGCGCGCTGCTGGCCCCCAACACCCGGCTGCAGCGCTTCGAGGTCCTCAAGAACGGCACGCTGGTCATCCGCCGGGCGCAGGCGCAGGACCGCGGCCAGTACCAGTGCACGGCGCAGAACCTGCACGGCGCGGACCGCATGCTGGTGCGGCTCTCGGTGGCGCTGCAGCAGCCGCAGATCCTGGCCTCGCAGCACCAGGACGTGACGGTCTACCTGGGGGACACCATCGCCATGGAGTGCCTGGCGCAGGGCACGCCGGCCCCGCAGATCTCCTGGATCTTCCCCGACGGCACCGTGTGGCGCAGCGTGTCCCCCGCCGGGGGCCGCGTGACGCTGCACCAGAACCGCACGCTGTCCATCCGGGACGCGGGCTTCGCCGACCGCGGCGCGTACCGGTGCGTGGCCAGCAACGCGGCGGGCGCCGACAGCCTCGCCATCCGCCTGCACGTGGCCGCGCTGCCGCCGCTCATCCAGCAGGAGAAGCTGGAGAACATCTCGCTGCCGCCGGGGCTCAGCGTCCACATCCACTGCTCCGCGCAGGCGGCGCCCCCGCCCAGCGTGCGCTGGGTGCTGGCCGACGGCACCCACATCCGCCCGTCCCAGTTCCTGCGCGGCAGCACCTTCGTCTTCCCCAACGGGACGCTCTACATGCGCCACCTGGCCCCCAAGGACAGCGGGCGCTACGAGTGCGTGGCCGCCAACCTGGTGGGCTCCGCGCGCCGGACGGTGCACCTGAGCGTGCAGCGCGCGGCCGCCAACGCGCGCATCACCGGCTCGTCCCCGCAGCGCACCGATGTGCGCTACGGGGGCACCCTCAGGCTGGACTGCAGCGCCTCGGGGGACCCCTGGCCGCGCATCCTGTGGAGACTGCCTTCCAAGCGCATGATCGACTCGCTCTTCAGGTAGGTGGGGCCCAGCTGCGCCCTGGGAGGGGATCCGGGCGCGCCAAGCTGGGGCCTGAGGACGCACAGGCGGGGACCTGCATGCGCCCGGCCCTGCGCGCTGGGGGGGCCTCTCCTTCTAGGGAAAGAGCTCAGCATTTTCATGTCGCGCCCCTGTTTCCAAGCACCTTAAAAATTATCTCCTAAAAGCGCGTCCGGCAACCTCAGGTGTCACTTTTAAACGGCGCTGGTGACAACGTGCCAAAGCCAGGCTCTTCCCACGCCTGGTTCCAACCCCGCTCAGCCTCCTCCGAGGCTGGACAGCCCTGCTGGCCGGGCGCCCTCCGGCCCAGGGCCTCCAGTGCCTCCAGTGCCAGATACGTGGACCAGGGCCACCTTCTCAGCCGGGGCCACGGGCAAGTGTTTGGGGAGGTTTTGGTGGCCTCCTGGGTGGCATTTTACACCAGCCAGCGGGCGAGCCAAGGGCACCCGCCATCCAGGACTCCTTATTTGTGGGAGATTAGTAATTTCCCCATATGCGCCAGGCCGAGCAAGCCTCCTGGCCCCCGGCGGTGGCTGACATGGCTCCTGGCCCCCAGGGCGGTGGCCAACAAGCCTCCTGAACCCCCAGGTTGTGTCCGACAAGTCTCCAGAGCCCGGGCGGTGGCAGAGCAAACCTCCTGTCCCCCTGGGTGGTGGCCAACAAGCCTCCTGGCCCCCCAGGTGGTGGCCAACAAGCCTCCTGACCACCTAGGTGATGGCCAACAAGCGTCCTGACCCCAGGCAGTGACCCAGCAAGCCTCCTAGCTCCCCGGGTAATGGCTGACAAGCCTCCTGACCCCCAGGTGGTGTCTGACATGGCTCCTGGCCCCTGGGGCGGTGACCAACAAGCCTCCTGGCTCCCCAGGTGGTGGCTGACATGGCTCCTGACCCTGGGCAGTGACCCAGCAAGCCCCCTGACCCCCCAGGTGGTGGCCAACAAGCCTCCTGACCCTGGGCATTGACCCAACAAGCCTCCTGGCCCCCCAGGTAGTGGCCAACAAGCCTCCTGACCCCCAGGCGGTGGCCAGCAAGCCTCCTGACCCCGGGAAGTTGCCCAACAAGCCTCTTAGCCCCCCAGGTGGTGGCTGAAGAGCCTCCTGACCCCCAGGTGGTGTCTGACATGGCTCCTGGCCCCTGGGGCGGTGACCAACAAGCCTCCTGGCCCCCCAGGTGGTGGCCAACAAGCCTCCTGCTGACCCCAGGCAGTGACCCAGCAAGCCTCCTAGCTCCCCGGGTGATGGCTGACAAGCCTCCTGACCCCCAGGCGGTGGCCAACAAGCCTCCTCACCCCGGGAAGTTGCCCAACAAGCCTCCTAGCCCCTCAGCTGCTGGCTGACGTGCCTCCTGACCCCCAGGTGGTGGCTGACATGGCTCCTGACCCTGGGCGGTGGCTGAGCAAGACCCCTGACCCCCTAAGTGGTGGCCAACAAGCCTCCTGACCCTGGGCAGTGACCCAATAAGCCTCCTGGCCCCGGGTCATGGCCAACAAGTCTCCTGACCCCAGGCAGTGACCCAGCAAGCCTCCTAGCTCCCCGGGTGATGGCTGACAAGCCTCCTGACCCCCAGGCGGTGGCCAACAAGCCTCCTGACCCCGGGAAGTCACCCAACAAGCCTCCTAGTCCCCCAGATGGTGGCTGATGAGCCTCCTGACCCCCAGGTGGTGGCTGACATGGCTCCTGACCCTGGGCAGTGACCCAACAAGCCTCCTGGCCGCCCAGGTGGTGGCCAACAAGCTTCCTGACCCTGGGCAGTGACCCAGCAAGCCTCCTGACCCCCAGGCAGTGGCCAACAAGCCTCCTGACCCCGGGAAGTTGCCCAACAAGCCTCCTAGCCCCCCAGGTGGTGGCTGGCGAGCCTCCTGACCCCCAGGTGCTGGCCAACAAGCCTCCTGACCCTGGCCAGTGACCCAACAAGCCTCCTGGCCCCCCAGGTGGTGACCAACAAGCCTCCTGACCCTGGCCAGTGACCCAACAAGCCTCCTGGCCCCGGGTGGTGGCCAAGCACCCCCACGAGCACCCACCTTTGCTCCGTCTCAGGCACCAAACACCAGCCAGCGGGCTGGCCACCCGCCCCCTGATTCCTTCTCTTTCTCCCGCAGCTTTGACCCCCGGGTCAAGGTCTTCACCAACGGGACGCTGCTGGTGAGGTCGGTCACCGAGAAGGACGCTGGCGACTACCTGTGCGTGGCCCGCAACAAGGTGGGCGACGACTTCGTGCTGCTGCAGGTCAACGTGGTCATGAAGGCCGCCAAGATCGAGCACAAGGAGGAGAACGACCACCGCGTCTTCTTCGGGGGCGACCTGAAGGTGGACTGCGTGGCCAGCGGGCTGCCCAACCCCGAGATCTCCTGGGGCCTGCCGGACGGCAGCCTGGTCAACCCCTTCATGCAGGCGGACGACAGCGGCGGGCGCGCCAAGCGCTACGTGGTCTTCAACAACGGGACGCTCTTCTTCAACGACGTGGGCCCCCGGGAGCAGGGCGACTACACCTGCTTCGCGCAGAACCAGGTGGGCAAGGACGAGATGCGGGTGCGCGTCAAGGTGGTGGCCGAGCCGGCCGCCATCCGCAACAAGACGCCCGCGGTGCTGCAGGTGCCCTACGGTGGCGTGGCCTCTGTGGCCTGCGAGGCCAAGGGGGAGCCCCCGCCCCGCGTCACGTGGCTGTCCCCCAGCCTGCGGCCCATCCCCGCGTCCTCCGACAAGTACCGGGTCTTCCCCGACGGCCGGCTGCTCATCCAGAAGGCGCAGCGCGCCGACAGCGGCAACTACACCTGCGTGGCGAGGAACAGCGCCGGCGAGGACCGCCACACCGTGTGGGTCCAGGTCAGCGTCCGGCCGCCGCGCATCAACGGGCACCCGGACGCGGTGACCACGGTGAGGGAGATCGCGGCCAGGGGCGGCCGGACGCTGCTGGACTGTCGCGCCGAGGGCGTCCCGGCGCCGCGGGTGCTCTGGGCGTTGCCCGAGGGCGTGGTGCTGCCCGCGCCCTACCGCGGCCACCGCGTGAGCATCCACGCCAACGGCACGCTGGACATCCGCGGCCTGCGCGCCAGCGACTCGGGGCAGCTGGCCTGCATCGCGCGCAACGAGGGCGGCGAGGCGCGGCTGCTGGTGCAGCTGACCGTGCTGGAGCCGCTGGAGAGGCCGCGTTTCCACGACCCCCTCAGCGAGAAGATCACGGCCACGGCCGGCCACACCATCAGCCTCAACTGCTCGGCGGCCGGCGCGCCCGCGCCCAGCCTGCGCTGGGTGCTGCCCAACGGCACGGAGCTGCCCAGCGGCCAGCGGCTGCAGCGGCTGTACCACAAGGCCGACGGCCGGCTGCACATCAGCGGCCTGGCCGCGGGGGACGCGGGCACCTACCGCTGCGTGGCGCGCAACTCGGCCGGCCGCGCCGAGAGGCTGGTGTCGCTGCGGGTGGACGCGGAGCTGACACCCGACAGGAGCCGGCAGTACCGCAACCTGGTGAGCATCGTGGCCGGGGAGACCCTGCGCCTGCACTGCCGGCCGCCGCGTGGCGGCCGCACACGCATCTCCTGGACGCTGCCCGGGGGGCTGGTGCTGGACGGCGCGCAGGCACGCGGCCGCGTCTCCCTGGCCGACAACGGCACGCTGACCGTGCGCGAGGCCTCGGTGTTCGACAGGGGCACCTACGCGTGCCGCGCAGACACCGACGCCGGCCCCGCGCTGGTCACCATCCCGGTCATCGTCATCGCCTACCCGCCGCGCATCACCAGCGAGCCCACGCCGGTCATCTACGCCCGGCCTGGCCACTCCGTGAAGATGAACTGCACGGCCATGGCCATCCCCGCGGCCCAGCTCAGCTGGGAGCTGCCCGACAGGGCGCAGCTGGCCGTGGGCGAGCAGGCGCGTGTGTACGGGAACAAGTTCCTGCACCCGCAGGGCTCGCTGAGCGTCCAGCACATCTCGGCGCGCGACGCCGGCTTCTACAGGTGCGTGGCCAAGAACATCCTGGGCACCGACTCAAAGACCACCTACCTGCACGTCTACTGACCTCGCGCAGCGGGGCTCAGCCGAGAAGTCGGAGCAAGGCTTCCCTTGTGGGCGCGAGGCAGGCGGAGACAGCAGCGCGCCGGAAGATTCGGCACCACCCGAGGGCCCCCGGGTGTAGATCACGAGGTCCCCTGGCTGCTGGGCACCTGACCACTGCTTGCGGGCCAGGGGACGCCACACAGCCCAGGGGCCAGGTGTGGGAACTCGCTTTCAGGTTGCCAGGATCTGGCCTTCTCGCTTCTGCAAACACGGTGCCAAGTCGGGACGCAAACCCCACCGGGAGGCCACGGGACGCCCAGGGCGGCCGTCACCGAGGAGACACCCTGGAGGTGGACACGCACTGCCCGGCCACCCCAGCGCAATGCATCCCCCATCCCTGGCTCCCCCATCACCGCTGCCCCCGCTGCTGGTCTCACACCCCAGAATGTGCTAGAACGAGTTATTTCCTCTGTCGCTTCTCCGGTCCGGTCTGCCCCAGGAAGGACTTTTTTTTTTTTAATGTGCAAGTGTCGTCCGCCGTGGACAAACGGACTCTCTGTCCCGGGAAGTCGCTTTTTTACATAATGTTTTATAAATATATATATTTTTATCTTCCCCGTCGGACGATGAGGCTGGAAACGAATGTTTTCTGCCTCGTGACAAAGAATAAATTATTGGTCTTTACGGACTCGGAGACGTGGCCGCGGGCGTGGACATGTCCCTCCCCGCGCATCGGATTCCATAACCACTAGGTCCCGGCCCCGCCGCCGCTGGGGGAGGCTGCGTTGCCCCGTCGGCGGCGGCGGCGTTTATCTTGCAAGCAGAGGGGGAGGGAGATGACAAGGGATGGACCCCACAGAAGGAACCCCGAGTCTCCCCGAAGAGTCCGCAACCTCCTGCGTGGCCCCTTCCCCGTCTGTGCCCACGGCCAGCGGGCACTTGTGATTTCCAGGCCTGCTTTACTGTATTTTTAAGGTCAATTAAATGTACATTTGACAATAAAGTCATATTTTCCAAGGAGGTGGACATGACGAGCCGGTTTGGGAGGGCGCGAGCCGGTTTGGGGTTCAGTGAGGGGCTGGAGTCCTGCCTCTGTCCACTGGGCCTTTGAGTGTAGAAGCCTCATGGCCAGGGAAACTGAGGCAGGGGGCTTGCCCCCGGGGACCTGTTTGACAGCCCACCCTGGCCTGGTGAGGGGACAACCCCAAAGGACGTGGGTTGTCCAAAGGCGGCTCTTGGGGATCCTCCGGGAATTTGGTTTGGACGCAGCGGGCTGCATGGGTCAACTTTCCTGCAGTCTGCATGGCCCTCATGCTGCTGGGAGGGCCCCTCAGAGGGGGAGGCAGGTGGGCCCGGTCAGCCTTTGTGGAGACCGGGCTGCTGGTGCGGGCAGGACAGCACCCCGGGAGCCAGTGGCCGGACCGAAGAGCACTTGCTGCTCCTGACTCGGGAGCCCAAGGACCCGGTCATCGTGGGTCCCACTCACTCTGCGGGGTCTGCTCAGCCGTCACCACATGCAGGACCAGACCTGGGGTCTCTGGTGCTCCTTGGACGACCCCCGTGCTCGGGCAGGGGCTCCCCGTTAAGTGAGAGAGATGCTGGGCCAGGGACCTGTCGGTGCTTGTGATCCGTGGGCACCGGGGGTGCTCAGCAGCTTCTCCAGTTACAGCCAGAACATGGCAGCGGCGGCCCCCACCCCAGGGCTGCTGCCAGGAGATGGCTCCGGGGGGCCTAGTCCCCCCGAGTTGGAAATCACTGCTGTGGGCGATAGCTAGATAGAGGGATAGGTGTGGAGAGGGACAGAGAGATGATGAGGGTGAGTAGATAGATGATAGGTACAAGGTAGGTGCGTAGGTGGAGACAGAGATGTGGTCATAGGTGATTGACAGACGCTGGATGCATGGGTGATGGATGATAGATAGATAGATAGATAGATAGATAGATAGATAGATAGATAGATAGATAGATGAATGGATGGATGGATAGATGATTGGATGGATGGATAGAGATAGATAAATGCTTGGGTAATGATGGATGCATGGATGAAGATGGATGGATGGATAGATAGATAGATAGATAGACAGATAATTGGATGGATGGATGGATGGATGGATGGATGGATGGATGGATGGATGGACTGATGGAGGTGGCTAGCTAGCTATCCAGATAATTGGATGGATGGACAGATGGGTGGATGGATGATAGATAACTAGATAGATGATAGGATGGATGGATGGAGAGATAAATGGATGGTTGGATGGATGGAGAGATGGAGGGGTAGATGGATGGAGATAGCCAGTTAGCACCTAGATAGATGATTAGATGGATGGACATATGGATGGATGGATGGATGATGGATGAAGGTATATTGATTGATAGATAGATGGATGGATGGATGGATAGATGATTGGATGGATGGATAGATAGATAGATAGATAGATAGATAGGTGGATTGATGCATATAGCTAGCTAGATAATTGGATGTGTGGATGGATGAAGGATGGGTGGATGGAAAAATATAGATAGACAGATAGATAGATAGACAGATAGATAGATAGATAGATAGATAGATAGATAGATAGATAGATAATTGGATGGATGGATGGGTGGGTGGATTGATGGAGATAGCTAGCTAGGTAGCTAGCTAAATAGATAATTGGATGGATGGGTGGATGGGTGGATGGATAGATGGATGGATGATTGGATGGATGGATAGATGGATGGGTAGATGATGGAGATATATTAATAGATAGATAGATACATAGATAGATGGATGGATGGATGGACGGATGGAGGATTGCATGGATGGATAGATGGGTGGGTGGATGGATGGAGATAGCTAGCCAACTACCTAGATAGGTGATTAAATGGATGGACACATGGATGGATGGATGATGGCGATATATTAATAGATAGATAGATAGATAGATAGATAGATAGATAGATAGATAGATAGATAGATAGATAGATAGATAGATGATTGGATGGATGGATAGAGATAGATAAATGCTTGGATAATGATGGATGGATGGATGATGGATGAAGATAGATAGATGGATGGATGGATGGATGGATAGAGAGATAGATAGATACATGGACAGATAGATAGACAGATAGATAGATAATTGGATGGATGGATGGATGGATGGATGGATGGATGGATGGGTGGATGGATAGATGGGTAGACTGATGGAGATGGCTAGCTAGCTATCTAGATAATTGGATGGATGGACAGATGGGTGGATGGATGATAGATAACTAGATAGATGATTGGATGGATGGATGGAGAGATGGAGGGGTAGATGGATGGAGGTAGCCAGCTAACACCTAGATAGATGATTAGATGGATGGACACATGGATAGATGGATGATGGATGAAGATATATTGATTGATAGATAGATGGATGGATGGATGGATGGATGGATGGATGGATGATTGGATGGATGGATGGATGGATAGATAGATAGATAGATAGATAGATAGATAGATAGATAGATAGGTGGATTGATGGATATAGCTAGCTAGATAATTGGATGTGTGGATGGATGAAGGATGGGTGGATGGAAAAATATGGATAGATAGATAGATAATTGGATGGATGGATGGATGGATGGATGGATGGATGGATGGGTGGGTGGATTGATGGAGATAGCTAGCTAGGTAGCTAGCTAAATAGATAATTGGATGGATGGGTGGATGGATGGATGGATGGGTGGATGGATGATTGGATGGATGGATAGATGGATGGGTAGATGATGGAGATATATTAATAGATAGATAGATACATAGATAGATGGATGGATGGATGGACGAATGGAGGGATGGATGGATGGATGGAGGATTGCATGGATGGATAGATGGGTGGGTGGATGGATGGAGATAGCTAGCCAACTACCTAGATAGGTGATTAAATGGATGGACACGTGGATGGATGGATGATGGCGATATATTAATAGATAGATAGATAGATAGATAGATAGATAGATAGATAGATAGACAAATAGACAGATAGAAGGGGATTGGATGGAGGGAAGGTGGCTAGATGCCCAGATTGGCCGGCCAGCCGGCTGGGTTGATAGACAGATGGCAGAGCAATGGATGGACAGACAGGTAGGTGACAGGCCGAGGCACACCTGGGACCTGGTGGCTTCCTGGGTCCCAGTGCCCATGGCAGTGAAGCTCCCGCTGTCCTGGAGTCTTGCAGGCGGCGTCATCTTTTAAAGAACAGAGCACACACCTTAATCAAGATGGCACCGGCCTGCCGTCTGCAACGTCCCTGATGCTTCAGAAGCCCTTGGTCCTTGGCGAGCAGGGCGGTGGAGGTGGACGGAGATGGACGCTGTCCCCAAGGCAAGTTCCTCTACCTCCCCCTGATGCGTGGGGCTGAGGAGTCTCTGGGGTGTCCTGTGCACATGGGGGTTGAGCGACCCCAGTTGGCTCCCATGGCCCCACCGAAAAATGTCTCTGGACGTAGCCAAGGTCCACTGGACAGTCCCAGTCCAGGCAGGTAAATGCTCGAGGACGTGTCAGGCCAGGTTGCACTTTGCTCCTCGGTGCAGCTACACCTGGGTCCCGGCGGGCGGGGGGAGGCAGGTGGAGAGAAAGCTTCTGCTTCCTCCTGGGGCGGCCCCACCGGGAAAAAGGGCGACCCCCAACCCCACCCCTCACCCCACTGTTGCGTCATGAGCAGCTTCAAGGGTGACTCAGCAAAGGTCCTTGAGGGCTGCCCTGTCCTGCTATTTGGAAGACGCGAGATGTCCAGTCTCCAAAGGACGCCATTTTGGGTTGAAAAGGACAGAATTGTAAGCGGGTTGCAGATTCCTGCCCCCCTGGAACCTCCAAGTGGACCTTGCATAGACCAGGGGCCTCGCAAAGGGGTCACTTAGGAGCTCAAGACCAGGACACCGCGGGTTTGGGTCCAGCGTCCTCGGAAGGGACAGGCACGGAGCAGGTGGACTCCTGGGTTCAGATGGGGAGGGGCCCCTGGTGTCAAGCCCCCCACTTTGCTCCCCTTCACACCTCCCTAGGGATCAAATGCAAATATTTGCGGGTCGGAAGCCTCAGGACTGAGGAGGGAGACTCGCGCAGTCCACACTGGACTCGGTCAGCCGTGCTCCCGCCAGACTCCTCGCCCGTGAGCTCCGCCCTCCAGGTGTCCAGGCAGAGGACACAGAGCAGCAACCGGGTTCCGCGCCGCTCTCCACCCTGCACCCGTCAGGAAAGCCCAGTGGGTGCCTCTGTGCCCGGGAGGCCCACCGAGGGCTTCCGCCCCACCCCAGGGTGCTCCCTAGAGCCCTTGCTGGGGCCGCCACGCTGGGGGGCCCCTCGGAAGGCCTTCCTGTCCCCTTACTCCCTCCTCCACGTCCTTGTCCTAGTTCCTCTCTAGACGCACCCTGCACCCCACCTTTGTGCCCGACTCGTGCTGCTGGAAAACCTTCCCCTGCGCCGGCGGGCACGTGTCCGCAGGCCCTTGCGTGTCATTTCCTTCTGCACCAGAGACCAGGCCGTCCAGCGCGAGGGGCCGGGAGGCTGCCCACGCCAGGCCACCGCCTCGCTGGCAGCGCCCGGCACTGGCCACGTCTTTATCACGGGGCTCAGAGAAAAAGAAACGTCTATTTTCATTCTCGAAAATCCATAAAGAGCCTTTTTCGCACCCAAATTAGTCCCCCTTCCTGTTAGAAAGAAGAGCGTGGACACCACTTTGGACTAGTTTTTGTGGACTTCTGGCGACATGAGCTGGTGAGCAGAGAAGAGGAGACGCCCTGGGGAGCTGGCGCAGACCCGGGAGGCCCTGCCGCGCCCGTGCGGACCGGACGGCGCACGTTCCCTCGGGGTGCCGTACGCCGAAGTGACCCGGGGGCGCATTTTCGAGACCGAGCGAGACCTGGGAGTCGGGTCCTCCCCAGCTCGGGCTCCAGAGCACGACGGAGCAGACGCCGTGCGGGAGGCAGGAGGCAGGAGTGGGTTTGCTCTTTTTCTGTCTGGAACACGAGGCTCCCCCTGAGGTTTTATGTT